GTTTGGAGTCCACGTGAATTAAAAAGGCGTTCTCCACTCAGGCCGCGACTGGAGATGACTTCATATTTTGGTGTACATGAAGGTGAATGGCGGCAGCCGGCTCCTGCTTATAGAGGAAGATCTTGGGTATCTTCCGCCCTGGTACTCATATCCACTTCCTCTGTCTGGGCTGCGAAAACTTCGCTCATATGTGACTCGGCCGGAATGACTTTTTTTTGCCCCCCCCCTGTATATATCACAACCCCCCCCGCTCGACAGCAAAATTTTTGGGAAAAGTAGGAAAATTTCAGGGAAATTTCGGGTAGGAAGTTGGGAAAAATCTAGGAAGTGATAGAGAGGGGGTCGTACCACCCCCCCCCTGAAAAAAAGGTAGGGGAGGTCGTACGGACTCGACCAAAATCCCAACTGATGATGTGCCCTGGTAATCGGTGTACTGGAACTCTATCTGTACACCTGGTTCTTTTGCCAACAGATGAAAAAAAGAAGAAATCCTCTGTCCGAATCGGAACCTATGCGTACCTAATGTGAGGGTTTGATTTCCATCATAGATATCCTTGCCCTGGATACCAACTAATGAGAATCGTAATTGCTTGCCGAGTTCTACAGCATAGTTACAATTCTGGATTTGGTCCATCATACCCCTCAACTTATGGAACACGCGTACCACTCGCTTCCATTGTACGATTCCAGGGCGAATTATATCGTAGAGCTGAAAATCAGTTCAGAAAATCGTGAAACGTCCAGCAAATCGCTAACAAACCTACCTGGAAAATTATGACCCCATTCTGTAGATCGCTGTAGAGCCAATTGACGTATGGGTTCACGCCCATCGAATTCATCCAATTCCTGTATGTTCTCTCCTCGCGCGTTTCCTCGACTACTTCCTCGACTAAACAACATTAAAATAGTGATGAATTTCCATGGTAATTACAAATACAATTATTCATTCATATTATGCCTCCAGAAGCATTTTACCCTATTCTTTAAGGTTTAGGCTTTAGTATAGCCGCAAAACGCTCACCTCCGTGGATCCTAAACCTTCCCGTATGTGCGGAGAATGGGTCCGCGGCTGCAGCACTCTACCACTTTCTTCGCTCAAAAGGCCGTCTAAATACTTCGCCCGCGCTGCCGCACCTCTAGCCACACGCCTGACCATTGCCAGACGCGCTACTTAGCTGTGCCCTCTCATCTCTGCTTGCCCTCTAAAGGATAAAAAAGGATAAAGTCTTCGCCGTTGATCAATCCCTTTGTGGGATGCGGCACGCATTCTACTTCCATTCAGAATCGTAGTGGCTTATTGAATGCGATGTGGCCTATACAATGACTTGCGGTGGCCAGCCGATGTACAAGTCAGTGTTTTATCCTCCCAGACGAATCTGGTACCAATTTACCGTCCCCGGAGGGTAGAAGGCTTGGTTGGCCTGGAGTCGACCCGGGATTTGAACCCGGCGCCGCGCGAGTGGTAAGCGCGCCACTTGTCACTACACCACCTCCGCCTCCCTCTCTAACGCTGCTGAATTTCGGTATCAACGCAAGGCTGCATTTATACTGTGCGTCAGCGTCCACCAGCGACAACCGGCGTTTCGAGCGTACTCCGCGCCAACGACTAGGAAAGAAAAAATATCGCTAACGAACGCCAGCTTCTACTAACTAACGTCCGCCAGCGTCCAGGAGTGGAGAGTAAAGGGAAATAGGAGAGTAGCAGGCAGCGGGACTATGCGTCGTAAAATTGCGGCTTGTGCAACCGCACCATGCAACTGCTAAAGTACAGAATCTGCAGCCTGGATGTAAGGCGTATTGCAGTTGTGTGGTGGGGTTACATATGCCACAATTTCACGACGCCTAATCCAGCTTCGAAGCGAAGCCACGCCCCATGCATTGTTGCGCCTTATACTCCAGAACGATCTGACTGAGGAGCACGTCGTCAAACGCACATGCGGTCAATAAAGTAAGTGCTACTCATTCCCCAGAGGATAGGGAAAACATAGTTCTTCATAAAGCAATTAGCAATGTTCGCAAGAACAACCCCTCTGATGGAAAAGCAGATTAAGGATGAATGTTAATGAACATACCGATCTCATCAGCAGCCGGATCGGGTAGATTGGGATGTTTGTTGAAGAGATTTGCAACGAATGCAAGATTCAATTTGTAGTTTCCACTAGCGACATCATTGGGAGTGACGAACTCACGGCAGTCCAACTTTTCCGCCTCATCTAACATAGCTGCTGCACGGTTGATATTACCCTGAAACAGAACAGGATAAACTGAACTATTATTCAAATTTGTACCGGAGACTGAAATCTCCATCCAGTCTTTCCACGTTATTTGTGATGTCAGTCCTCCCCTCTCATCAATAGTGCCTTATACCTTTCACTTTGTCATGTATTTTTCAATTTTGCATCTCTTAAAGGGCCCGTTACTGCTCGTCAACTTTCAGAGAAGCTGAATTATACCCTACAAAAAGTGGCTCCTTAATACTTTCTGGTGCCAAGACCGTGAATGTTGGGAGAGGTTAAAAAAGCAACTTCTTTTCATCCGTACTCGCTGCGGGTGTTGCAGTAGGTGAGGACTGTGAGTTACAAAAGAAACTTGGCACTTCCGCTGACTGTCGGACATAACGAAAGGTCGCTGTATGAATTCTCTTTGAATTCTGTGGGTCTGTTTGCTAGCTCCCTACAGCATCCTTGAAAATGCCTTGGAAATGTATCGTTATGATAAGTGCTGTTTATCATAATGATACACGCCGCATTCCCGATCCGGAAGTTCGCAAGAATGCTGAGTTATGGCTAGAAGTCTTGACTCTGTGCAGGGCTTTGAATCACAGCTAGCGCTTCGAGCGACTGCGCTATCATTTACGCAAGCAAAGCCGCCTGTTCCCTTCCAGCTCGATGGCTTTCAAGCCATGAGCGAAGGTAAGAGCCGAATCGCGGTTCACCACCGATGTCAGCTAACCGCTCACCACGTTAAACGTGTGAGCGCTGCAGGGTTATGGCATGAGAGCCATCGAGCCATGAGGGTAAGAACGCCCCTGAAGGCGTAGCGGAGAATACCTTTGCTGGAAAACGCGAGGTGCGATCGAGTTCCATCTGGGTCCAGGCTTTCGCTCCTAACTCAGCTCTGATGTAGAACAGCGAATGGTAGCCCCTCAAGCTTGAGGTCCCTCTTTTCCGTCCTCCTGGGGTCGCGATTGAAACCGCTCTTCACGGTTGAAGTTGTCAGCAAGGAAGGACAAGGGTTTCGCGCAAGGGTAACATTACAGGCAGTCGGCTTACGACTTCAGTTTTTGAGCCCTGTCCAGTTCTCTATTGTATTATTTAGCCAGCTTCCTACTGGCCAGGATGTTTGATGACCTCTGAGTACACCTCTGAGTGTATTAAAACGATAAATAAAAATCAAAGTACCTTTTGTGAAAGAGGAGCCAAAGTGACGCCACAGCCATTGGGTGCTATTTGATGTAGAAGATGAGTGTAAATTTCGGAATCATTGATATCAGTGGTGAAATTTGTCAAACGGCGATTGACATTTGCCTGGAAAACAAGCCTACAGACAAGCAAAAAAAACCCAACTCTTAAAAAAAACCGCACATTTTCCATGTGATAGTTAACCCA